GGGGGGGGGGGGGGGGGGGGTTTGGCGGGTATCACGTCAAACATTCAAAGGAACTTCCAGGAGAGGGTCATTCATCGATTCCAAAGAACGGCACGGTTCTTCTACTTCTTGAAGCTTTCTCAGAGGGCAAGATGCAGAATTGATACGAGAACGTTCCCAAAAAAAGTCGAAGTTGTATTCGGTCACAGAGCATCCCTGGCGCATCGTATTCTCGTCCTTCTCGTAATCTTGAATCTGTAAAATATTTTAAAACGCATTTACATGATCTCCTCGACGTTCGAGGATTTGAACGTACAGTTCGGGCAATCAAAAATAATGTTTTCTCACCTGAGTGTAAATATCAGTCTCTTCGTGCGTGAGTGGCAAACCAGTGATGACGTGGAAAAGTTCGTGTACTGTCAATATTCCGTCGAGACCATTTCGGTTGAAGAACTACAACGTAAGTTGAGAACATTTAAAATGCCACGCCTCGAATTTCTTTTCGATGCATATAGAATTAAATGGAGCACAAATATAGCGAAGAAAAGAGCGCGTACGTTGACAATATTTCCGCAGTCACGGTGCAAAAACTTCAAAGCATTCGGTGCAGTCCGGATGACAGCCTGGCTAACATCGATGAAGTAGCAATTACCCTTGTGCCATAAAATATTGTATTCTGACAGATCGGCATGAACGAGTTCAGCATCACGATAAATCGTCACCATACCCTGCGAAAAATTGCAGAGAAGTTAGCAAGCAAATGAGACACATCACCTTCGCGGATACACATATAATATTAACCAGATAACAATCCAGCGAATGAATGTAATTGTCTCACCTCTACGATCTGCTTATAAGCAAACGCCAACTCTGTTGCTGTTAAATTGGCGTCCTTCAATTTTGGTGCGGGGATGTTGTCCTTCCCCAGAAACTCCATCAGCAGGACGTGTTTCTTCAACGTAACGGGTTTAGGACATCTTACTCCAGCAGCTCGCAAGCGCGTTAGATTGTGTAACTCCTTTTCGGCCCAAGTGTGTATAATTTTTCGCGGGTTCTAAAAACAAAGTATAGTTCATAATTGGATTGTTAGCCTTTCGATCGGTATCCAAGTTCTCATAGAACTTTTAAATGTAAGTTAATCATGTGTCCAACACTAACCAGCTTCGAAAGTTTGTCCTTGTAACGATGATCATCACGAATGTACTTGTCCCGCGTTTTATATTCATTCAACGTTGTTTTGAAAACCTTGATCGCACATTCATCCGGAATCCCGATGTAGACCGGATCTTCAGTTTCTGCAGCTCCACCCTTGGCATGAAGCACGACGGCTTCCTTCCCTGTGCTCACAATGCCGTGAACAGCATCCAAAACGCCAGCGTTGATCCACTTGAAAAGCTGCAACCGAGTCTTCTCATCAACTGCAGCCACCGCTGTGGATTTGTCCTTTTTCTCGTGGAGTCGGGCTCTTCGGCCAGCTTCTTGTTGAGAATGTAACTTCAAGGAATTGAATACATGGTTTGGTAGCTGCATGTCAAAGCCTCCGGCATCTCCAGTGTTGAAATCGGGAGGAAACGCCATGACTCGCTTTGCATTGTTGCGGGAACAAGTTTCGCTGTCATGCTTGGTTTTCATCATTCCATCGTTGCTCCGGACATAGCCACATCGTCCAGGTTTCACGGCGGTTTTGTCGTTGCTCTACAATTTGGAATTTTTTCAGAAATTTAGAAGTCGTGGAGAAAAGAAAACAAAAATACATGTACTGCATTCATATATTTATGACTAAATCATAAATATAGTGCACGAAGTGTTTCGGGCGCCACTGTACCCATAAAAACCGATAACATTTGAATATAGGGGCCGGGAACGTGAAATTATACAATTTTCGGAAACAGGCTCCTTTTCTTGCCTGGGACTGGTGGATTAGATCGGGAAAAAATTAGCGGCATCCTCAAGAAAATGATTTCTCCTTCCTCTTGCCTTTCGATGATTGTAGTAAAATTAATCACCCAGGGATTCATCCAGAAAAGGACAAATAAGTTCCCTTGCCCTTCTTAGGCTCGGAAAACGTGTCCGCTCTTTCTCACCGTCCCAACTTCTCATCGAAGTCCAAAATTACACATTTGAAACTAATTAAAATGTTCCTTCTCTGTCTAGCTCTCGCAGTGCACGAACATTACTTGGCAATACTGCAAATAGTTAACAGTTAGATCTTACCAAGCTGTATACTAGACAAACGAACGAAGGTTTCAAAACGCTTCATTCGATTAAAAAGATCTAATGGATACGAACCTCAAAAGTATCCCAGAAAATGGGATCTGCGTCGTCTTCAGAACTTTCAGACTCCACGTCATCGTCGCAACGGCGATAGTTCGCAAATGAAACGCTCACTGCAAGAAGACAGCGTATCTATCATGCCAAGGGTTCGCAAGAACATTTCTCTGAATAAAACCTTTCGAGTTTCCATTATATTTCGCTTCTTGTCGGTTTAGCTGGGTGTCATATTCTCGATCGAGTTCCCTTTGAAGTATCCTCGCAAGCAACTCGTCATTCGAAACATCGAACTCCCCTTTGTCAGGTGGGATGGCAAAGGCATCTAGGTTTCCCTCAATCTTCCGTTGCAATTCTCTGTAAATGTAGTTTGCATCAATTAGTAATTCCATTATACAGTACTGTAAACACATTATAAAATGAGGGATCCCGTCGTTGGAATGTTCAACATCAAAGACAGAAAAATTTACTTTTCGTGAAGATCCTGCGCCAATTCTTCTGACATCACATCCAACAGAGACGTGGTAACTTCAGCTTCTTTCGGGAGGTTCCAAGCGGCTCTCGCCATATTTAAAACCGCAATTCCAACAAAATTTGAACAGAAAAACTTAGGATACAAAATCCCTCACACTGTATATCACAAACGCAGTTCCTTCGAGAAAATATACCCTAAATATTGAAGAAGCGAAGTAGGGAGCAAATCACAGAAAAATCTATGAACGTTGGGTATTCGGTAATTAAAAAGAAAATTACAGAGATCTGCGCCCTTTGACCCAACAAGTACTTGTATGCAATGCAAAAAAGAAATCCCTAAAACTTGTTGATCGACTTTTCAAAGCATAACAAATTCGCATTCCAACATCACATTTTCACGTATCAGTACAGGACTGGAAAGCAGCAGAGTGATTTCCGGAAACTTTTCTGGTAATCCGCGAGAATCGTACAATCACAAAACGAAACCCTATTCTATTGAACACTGCTTCCCTTTTTCGAAATAACATACAGACGTACGTGGCATAATCGAAAAAATCACACGAAATCATTAGCTCGGCCGGCACGTCAGGGGAAACGGTAACCCTTGACGAGGAGGATCATCGTCGAACTCCGCTGCAGCGGCAAAGCCTCGAAGCATTATTTCGATTGGATCCGTTTTCATGCGTCTTTGATTCGCGGAAGCTGAGCCTACGATATCCGTCACCACTCTGCCGTCATTGTCATCCTAATAGAAAAGCAATACAAATTAATACAAAGAGCTGATGTATAAAAATCAATACACAGTAATCAGAAGACTGAGAGACTTCATTCTTTTCGACAGAAAAAAATATATCAATAGACATTAATTCCTCCAAATGTTCTACTACAGGGAGGACGCTTAGAACCATGTTTACTCGCGTACTTCTCGCACTTCCTTAAAAAAAATCGGTTTAAAAAAAGTTAGTGGGCACCGCATGAAAAAAATTATAATGGAGGTCAGGGGGAATTTTCCAAAACGTTTCCAAACAAAAGTCAGGAGCATCATACACATGAATGCGTTGTACGTAAGTACAACGCATCTAAGAACTTACATCGGCTCGTGGCGTCCAAATTCTGATGACAGGCTCGATCCCTGAAGTAGCCAGCATGCAGCACGTCGGATGTGGTTGCAGGCAGTTGACAATGGAATCGTCGCCTCTCAAAACTTTCCGAATATTTGTCGTTTTACGATCCCAAATGAAGATATATCCTTCATCTGAACCAGCGACGATGAACCCATCTTTCCTGAATTAGCCATTTTTAAGTTTAAAGTGCTGAACAAAAAATTCGAATCAGCGTAGAAATTCACTCACCCGCCGAAGAAATTCGCTTCTTTAATATCGGTTGTGGTGTTGCAATGACCACAATATCGATACAGGTAATCCTTGGCTAGAGATCTCAATTTGGACTCCAGATTTGCTTCATCTTTTGGCAATTTTTCGCCACTCATAGGTTCGAAACAAAGCTGGAATTGGCGCCCTGCATCGGATATTACCGAACCGTCCGCTTCGTGGTCACTTTCGACGTCTTCAGATGCATTGGCGAAATCCCTGGGACTCAATCTGGGCACTAAAAATTGGGGGAAAAGGTTCTGCTAACAAAATATGCATCTTAATCTTTATTTTTTAGAACTCACTCCAGCGAACTCCAAATCCCACTCGGCTACTCGTACTGGATGAAGAGGACGACGACGAAGAGTTGAGCAGTTGTAATTCGTCTTTGGCAGACTGCATGTCTTCTAATAGCGTTCGGAATGCTGTTCCTTCACACTGTTCAGGGTATTTCGACTTGAAAACTTTCAAACAGTCCATGGCTTCGTTAAGCATTCTCAACTCCAAGAAACAACGGATCAACCTGAAACAATCCGCGGGAAGAAATGATGAAAACCTTACCTACAAAAATGTGTAAATCCAACAACGAACCGAAAATGGGCTTTGAAATCGCTGTCATCCAACTTTAAAGCATGGCAGCAATCAATCAAAGCTGCATACAAATCTCCGTCCCTAATATACGAATTTGAGAATCAGGTCTTATTTTCAAGGATCATGAATCGAAGTCTCACCACTTTCTTTTCATATAAACCGCGGCTCTGTATCCGTATATTCCGGCAGCATCAGGTTTCATCACAATTGCTTCATTAAAGACTTCTATAGCACGCACAAGATCGCCATCTTCAAATAATTGTTCGGCTTTTTCCTAAGAAAAAATAACACCAGATACAGTATTAGTTTTACTGAAACTTTTCCCTAAAAAAGCTTCCTTTTTATTTCGATATCCGGCGTTTATCACACAGATAATTCTTTTGCTTGAAAGCGTGTTGAGTATACAAAGGATTTCTCGAACTTCTGTATTAAGTGAAATATTTCGAAAACATGATGGCCACTCTTGCAAGATGCCGAACTGTTTATGAAATTAAAATCAAATATATCTACAGAAGAAATTTCCGTCCTTCTATAGAAAAAATGAAAGCTCAACATAATCTGGTTCATTCTCATCGTTGCAGTTAAAAAAAAAAATCTGTGTAGTCAAGTACAAACTACATACTTTCATCTTACGCGAAGAATAAAGCGGACTTGAAAGAGTGGAGCAAATTAGAAATTTTTTCTTATTATTTTCACAAAAGCTGATGAATGCCTTCCTCTCGTTGAGACGGCTTTTAACTGCATGTCCAACTTCAAAGCCATACGAACAGCGTACAGTGCGTTTTTCAGTAAAGCTGCACAGTCCTGCATTTTTGTGTGCCAACACCGATTAAGGGGAGGTTAATGAAGACATCTTTGGTATTTATAAATCATATCTTCGGCTACCTTAGATTGGCCGTCATAAATGGGGTGTTGAATATAACTTGCAGAGCGAGAGCTCAGTAACTGAACAAGGTGCCCAAGTGTTGTGATCAATACTGATAAAACTGCGTAAATGCGTTCACAATTCTTTTCAGCGATACGAAGTGAGTTCAATTAGCTAACCTCCAGTTCGCTGGAAATGCGGGAAGGAGCTGCACACGGACGACTCGCACGACTGGCTTCCCATTGCGCGTACATGTTGTTAACAGTGCTTCCCCCAACGCTATCATCGGATTTGAATTGGCGGATAATCGAAGTGTCCAAGACCTGAGTCCGATCCGGATCGAAAACTAGAGACGAATCTACTTCGAACAGATAGATGTGTTCTCCGCCGATGTTCGCAATGAGCTCGCTTCCGTCAGGACTAAACGCAATATACGTAACGTTCAAACTCCGGTAAGTACGAGATTCTGTCTTATGATCCAGATGACCTGCGGATAACAATGAACAATCATTTCATGTGCATCACAGTATCACGAAAAGCTGATTACAATCACAATAAATTCGAAGATTTGCAAGAACAAATAAAACAGTCTCACATCTAAGCTAAAAAAAAATTCTTTTCGAAAACCACACTGCTTCAATCAAAGTTACTAATTTCTGCCAAACGTTCGAAGAATCCCCAATTGATTAATCTCTGATAATACTAATGAGTGACACTGAAACATTACGAAAAAATTTCGCCTCATTGCAACGATTCGCACATAATTACCGTTATCTCCGAAGGACTAATGCCCGTAGTCGTTAACACTAAGAAGCATTGCGAAATTTTCCAGCAAAGACTGAATACGAGTTGTCTGATTTCCGAACGAGGTGGTAAACAATATTAAAAACGTAACTGTATTTCTTAGCAATTATCAGATCGAACAGAAGAAGATTCATCATTTCAGAACAGTTTCTTTTTACCTGACTTCGTCATTTCGTCAACAACATAAATATTTGATAAGCCACGCTAGCATAGATTTCCAGCATTCTACTATACACGCAGGATTTCAGAGCGATAACCCAGTCATGAAGTCTGAAGGATCTAAACATTGACAAAGACGGCGAATATGCTTTACCCAGTGCTTTACATCCAAAAAGTTGAGAGAATCGGAAAAATTGCAATTGTGACACAACTTAGGAAATACGTTTCTTCCACTTTGTGCGGGAACTCGAAAACACTAACATTGAAGCTCCGAGTCGTCAATGAGTCATATTAGTGATATTGCTGCTATACCTGTATATGTTTTCTGAAAATGAAATTACAGGATTAACTACTTCCTCCGTCAAGTTTGGAATACATACTGTACAAGCATGCAGGGATTGCAGGCAGATAACGATGCAATACGATAACTCACCAGGACTGAAATACCGAACACAGCCAGGATTTTCGCTCAACCCTGCTGATGAGATTGGACTAGGAGGCAACATTCGGCGATCGTAGATACGAACGAAAGGGTCATTTGCACCAATTGCCAGGTACTCCGGTCGAACAGGATTAACACTGATGCACTTCGCTTCAACTGAGTTACTGATCAGGTCCGCCAAGTTGATGAATGTTGAAGCAGGATGCCGTTGTTCTTGATGCAAGGGATCTTCGTTATTATCGGCATCACCAGCATTTTGGGGACCATACGTTGGAGAAGACGGTGGCCGGAAGCAGACGTGGGGAGTACGCATGTCGAATTGCCTACAAGACATACCAAGTAATCTAAATAAAGAATCAATCCCATCGAAGTTAATCTTGGAAAAATCAAAGATTTTTCCACTGAAAGGTGTAAGACTCGTGATTATAAAAAATATATTTTTAATCGCCTCAGCTTTGTCCATGGTTGTAAACCTTGTATCGGTAACTTGAAACCTCGGTAATTGAAAAATCAAAGCATAAAAATGAGAATCGATCAAACGTACATTATGAATCCATCTTCTCCAGCGCTCCAGAGCAAATATGGAGTGTCTGGTGCAACAGCCAATCGCTTCACTCGCCCTGTGTGGCAGGAACACCGAAAAATGGTTTCCGCCTTTTCAAGGTCATGAACGTGAACTTCTGTATCGGCAGATGACGTCGCGATAGTTCGGTCCATGGATCCTGGCAGGAACTTGACCGAGAAGATATTACCGCAATGATCTGTCTGATACTTGGAAATGCATTTCCTCCTAAACGGATCCCACAGCATGACATGGTAGTCGTCAGACCCGGAAGCAAGAATTCTGGAAAAAACGAAAATTGAAGGTTTTTCAACTTAATGCTACAACCTCGACATCCAAGAAAATACAATAACTATGAAAATTTTCTGAGCGGGATTTTGTTGAAAAAAAAAAAAAATTCCCTGATGAAAGATTCATAGGACAAACTCACGTTCCCTTATCGTTCCACTCAATGCAATTAACACAGCCGTCATGACCTGCCAATTCCGCTGTCAGGCCGAGACGATCCAAAAAGGAAGGAGACACTCTGTAGCGACTCTGGAATGACTGACCGGAAAATTGTTGGATTTCTCTCCGGTAGAAATCGTCAATCCAATTAGTTGGATTCATTCTTGCTCAAAAAGATCATCAACTAAGACCACTTCTCGAATGGGACATAATAAAGTTACGAGAATCATACGAAAGAAGACCAGGACTTCGAAAGGCGCATATGTACCTATAATTTTTGTGAATCTGAAAAACAAAAGAATATATGAACCATTAAAAATTAATTCATGATGAAATATCAGAAGGAGTACTGTGTACATTTCGCTGCGCTGCTTCCCTTTACTACCGCCCTAGAGCAAGTTTTCAAAAGAAATTGAAGGTTGCGAGAGTCTCAAAGATTTCAAGGTAAACGACACGATCAAATACGTCACCAAGGATTGAAACAACTACTTGGTGGATCTACGAGTTCTCTTATTCCAAGAAAAGTTTGCAGCATAGCTTTTGACTTTTGGTTTCGGGGACAATTTTTCATCAACGGTATACGCCCAGCCATTTTTCTCGCAAAACTGTATCGCAGCTTCTTTTGAATCGAATTTCACTTGCGTGTTGGATAACGGATCACCACTAAATAGAAGAAGTCAAAAATACATTATTTCAATAATACGCCATAATGAATTCAACTTGAAGATGCATACGTAGAGGTCCATCCCATTAGGGGATTTTCCCAGCGTTCCCTGGAGTCGAATTCGATTTTCCAATGATGGGTATTGTGTGAACCACTCTGCATGGCGTTTCGGGCAGGGCTATAGATTCTTACGAGACGTTCTTTGATGTGTTCTTTAGGAACACCGCTGACCTCCCAAACCGACATCTGAAAGAAAGAACTTCATGAGAGAGATGGAGTACAAATTATTAGAGATGTTTGGAGACCAACCGGTTCATCGGTCGTTATTGTTGGTTCCCTTAGAAGTTTCTGACGAATTTGTTCTTCATTGGGAGTCAGGACGGTCGGTGTATCTTTCCGATCGATTCCCCCGACATCACGATCAGCAAGCGTCGCACCACAATGAAACGCAGAAATCCTGCAGAACGAGTTTTCATTCGATGATCACTCATCACTGTCGAAGCTCAACGTCTCAAACTACGAACTCACCTCACCAAATTTTGGCGAAGCTGCGTCTGCGACACTTTCATCACTGTACAGCCACATCGCATCAAGTTCGCAGCCATATCGCGATTCTAATGGATTGAGGAAGCTTCTGGCAAATTTTACATCACACACCTATAATACTGCAATCCAGGAGGAAGATCATTCGCATTTTTAAAAAATTGTTAGAAGAATGCAGTGCCGATGTCCGCGCCCAAATCTTTTTCATTCAACTTCAAGGGTTTAGGCAAAGCCGATTCACTATTCCACCTCAACCGAAGTCACGCAAACTCTCAACTTCCGAACCGAGTTTCATTTGACTTTCACATTCTCTCAGGAACACTCCGAAGTGAACCATGCATACCCAGTAATTCCTCGAACACAAAGCATGAATTCCAGTTTCAGCCCAATGCGAGTTGTGACTTGCGTTCAATATTAGACGGCACCATGGAAACGATTTCAAAGTGGGTAAGGTGGACAATTCAACCATCATCGATAATGTACAGAATTGTACAGAACTGCGTCGGGCTTCAACATGGGCATTGCGCAGTCCAATAAATTTCGGGCACCTCTGCTACTTGATGGAATCGGTCCCATTGTATTTTCTTTACCCCCCCCCCCCATTCGGTGTTGAAAGGGTTTTCATCAGTAAAATTCACGTATATGGGTGCCTCTGTGGCCCACATAAGAGGCCTTCAAACTGCTGGTCCACAGACCATTCCAAAAAATTGCTTTAGCTTAAGAAATATCTAGCAACATTTCAATTTTTTTCCTGTTTTCAGTTAGTTTTATGGTGTATTATCATCATTTTGTCCTAAGAAACTCCTACAAATTATTTCCCTAATGCTCAGAGTCTATACATGCAAAATACCCTAGAATAAGTTAGTGGTTTGCTGTAGTTCTGGAAGCTTCCAGAATTTTCAGTTTCAGGGAGTGTGCACTAGTAGTTGCTCAATCCAAAAAGTGTGCACTGGGAGTATATAGTACACTCCCTGCTCCCATTTCAACTGGCTCATATACAGTATATGCAGCTTTCTGCAGCAACTGTTCTCATTTTCAGGAACGGTTGCTCAAGTGATGCATAATCCATTTATTTTTAGTACATTTTTTGAAGAATGCTAATTGAGAGTAAAATGCATTGTGCCACTATATATTTGTGATGACCCATGAATATGTTGTTTGTTTAATTTTTAGGAATGTGTGATTTTTGTGCTGGGGAAAATTGAGCAAAGATAACAAAATATGCACTAGCTTAGAAAAGAAAAGTATGAGTGAGCAGCATTTCAATAAATTGACACCATACATGCCTTTGGGAAAATTCCCCAACCCTCCAAGGATGGTGGTCTAGACTGATGGATAAGCACAAGAAAAACTTATTTTGCAAATTGAAGAAAAAAGATTGAACATTTAAAAAAGAGCCTTATACAGTATAAAGCATGCTGTCAATGAGCTACAGAAAAATGTCAAACATATAATCATTATTTCGGAATTAAAAATGACTTATTCGAGCCTGTGAAAACAAAATAAAGCTGCTATATATAACCACGAGTACTGCTATATATTTTTTGATAAAATTAATTCTTTTCTGCCTTTTTACTGGAATATTTGGCTAGCAAGATCTAAATACTGTAGATCGAGGTGATGGGCAAGAGCATCAGAGTTTTTATGCGATGAGCTCTTGTGATGGCTGTTTCCGAACGACCGAACGACAAACAACCAGCAATATACATTACACTATATATTGTATATCGCACACAAGCATCCCCCGGACAACAAAATAATTGTTTATATACCGCTTATGAATATAATCGTGGGTCAAAACAAGCATCTCAATATTCTCAAACATTCTTCACAGCCATCCGCGCGTCGCGGAAAATACTGAACGGGAATTTTCACAAATAAACAGCTATCGCGGCTTATTGTAGAGCAAGCAATCCAAAATACTTTTTTGGTCATTTGCAACACTCGCAACTGCTTTCTCCAGGCTACTCATTCGATGATTCAGGGCTTCCAGACGGCGGTGAATGTTCGCCGAACGAGCAACTGTGTGCTTGGGCCTCGTCATCGTCGCTGCACTGGATCTCCTGCTGTTGACTGGCTGTCTGGGGTAAAGGTCTAATTGGTGTTCTTCCTCTTCCTCTGCTGAAGGGGCTGCTGTAACAAGCTCACGTCTCAAAACGACGGTTCTCGGTCGCTCCAAGTGTATTACATTCTCTTCGGGATTCTGCCGAAAGCATTTCGATATAAACCTCGATAACTCGACGAACCTCATCATTCCGAAGTTTAATACATCCCTATGTCTAATTTTTTTTAAATCCCTGTCCGAATTCCTCAAGAGTCAAGACTATTCCCTCAAACCTCCTTATGCAGTACATCTCGAATTTTCTGCGACCTTTTATTTGACCATAATATTTTACTGACCCAGGAAAAATGTGAGCATAATACTGTAGAAAGTTATTATTATTGATCCGTTTTGAAAGACAGAGGAAGACTAACAGCGCATTGGCGCAAAATAAACCCCTGTCATCAACTTCAGCATTGTGTCAACTCGTCATTCAAGAAACAACTTGAAGCCCAGAATTTCAGAGAGTAAAATGTCCTTAATTCTTCTTTCTCCCCCCCCCCCCCAATACCGTTCTTTTCCCCCAACTCGAAGCCTACAGTACCAGCATAACTCGATTGTGTTCTAGGTCCCTTGGAGTTCGACTCAAGTTATCAGTGGATTCTTTCTATTTTCACTGCTCCTGATGTGAATACAATTTTGCGAAAATATCCAGACCTCATCGCGGAAGGGTTGAAAAAAGAATCGAATGTAACTGCTGATGTATAAAGATGGACGAAGAAAAAATTGAGAGAGAACTAAGAAAGACGACAAGATAGACTTATTTTTTCCACTAATTCTGAACTATCAAAAGGAAGTATTTCGTGCGGAACGAGCATTCGTAACACACCAATAACAACGGTAAATGACTTACGATGTCTTTTAATGCTCCAATAGCTGTATCACTGATCATTTCTCGCAAAGCATCTAACGAGGCTTTAGATATTCCTCTACTTGCTGCACCACTCCTAACTCTCCTTTCCTCGGTTTCAAATGCTTTTGATTCATTCTCTGCTGTAGAGTTTTCCAAGATCGGAGAGGAATCGCTAGCAATGCCAGAATCCTTCTCGGGAGAATGCTTGGCAGCGTCCTCTATGCCTAATCCGTTTGTGTCAAGTTGAAATTTATTGGCCAAGGTGTCGACCCTGTCATGAAAAACATTATCGAGGAATATTTCTCAATGGTGGATGATGGATTATGTCTCAAGTTTTTGTAAAATACGTACCATTCGCCGTCCTCAGCAGTCTCGTCAATCTTCTTCAGCAACTCTTCGATGCTTAATACATAAAATAGTCGAGGAAATCCATATTTCATTAATATCAATGCCCTGCTGTCTAGAATTATAGACGTTCTCTTACTTTTCTTGAACCTTCTTGATCCTTTCTTCGATCGAAGAATTGGAATTGTTCTTCTTATCAGTCATGTACAAAGCTGTGCATTCTTTTTCGTACACCCTCAGCATTTCGACAGTCGTCTTCATAAGCGCTTCGACTGTTCTCAGAAACATTTGAAATCACATATATACAGTACACGGATTTCCAGATAATTTACAACTTTTTCCGATACATACGGTCTTCTTTTTCTTTGCGACAGCATCGCTTCCAGATTCCCTTAAACAGCAGCCAAACATGCTCAAAAATGATGAACGGAGGCACGAGTCCGGGTTTATCATCGTATTCTTGAACCAGCCTGAACATTTCATACTTCCATATCTCCATGGAGTTCTCATGCACCTCATCGAAAACGTACCTGGACGCATAAATAATTGAATAAGCTTTTTGCGTTGCTTCGAAAAAATGTGGTCGAAAAAAAAGAGATTCAGTGAAATAAACTTACGTGAAAACGGCAATGAGCATGTTCAGCAAGAGGATGTTGCTCACGATTAAATAAAATGCCAACATCAGCTGTCGAACCCAACCGTATTCCTCCAGATTTTCGCACACGCCGTCCATACACTTCCAGGGATCCGCTGTTCCAACTGAAATTGAATTTTGATTCAGTTCTTTTTACATTTTAAAAATTTCAATCGCACTGCAAAAATACTTTACAGCCTAGTGGCTCCAAATTATGTATTCTCTCTTCTAAAAATATTAATTTTTGAAGATGTACCATCAACAGTCGTCGTCAACTCATTTTAGAAATATTCCGTAATTAATCACGGAAAATCACAGAGAATATATCAAAGAGGGACATTTCTACGAAAAAATTATACAAACATGCATTTTTCTTGCAGGGTTTGCTGACCGATTTTGCCGCATAACCTCTCTCTATACTGCCAGGAAAATTCAACAGAGAAATAAGTTTTATTAATCAATCTGCATTGATCCTGTACACATTTATTGGGAGAATATTCTGACTGGGAAGCTTGGGTATATTCCCAAAATACTTCTTGATAGGACTATATATTCAGCAGTGTCCTATAGCTACTGACATATTTTTTTCATCGACGAAGAAAATAGTGGGAGAAGTAACGTACTGTATTACATTTTCAAGTGTAGAGTGAACTTCATTGATTTGATCATATCATTCAAGATCTTTCCGAAAATTAAAAATCTCAGTCGTAAAATTACTAGAAAAACTTTCGAACCAACTCTTTCCCTTAAGAAATCTTCAACGGTGTGAATAGGCATAATATAATTTTCTACTTTTCGAATTCTTTTTCAGAAAAACTTACCCTCCAAAGTTTCCAACTGCAATTCTCCGTACATCTGCCAGTAAGGTATATAAATAATGTTGTTGACGAAGACTGGTAGTGAAAAAGTCTGAAAAGGGTCATGCAAAGCTTGGCTCGCAATACCGTAGCCCAAAAGAAAAACTCCCAGCATGATGAGGAACATGGCGACTTCAGCAATCTAAAATTATTAAATGGAATGAAACCAAAGCACTTCAAATTAATTCCCAACCAAAATGAAGAATATAATTGAACTTGCCATTCTGTAAAACGTGACGAGTTTCGGCCCGAGTCGGTAGGAAGCATGGAATGCTCTGAACAGTCGGATGTACAAAAATGCAGTATTCATTGAATAAAGTATTCTCGCTTGTGGAA